GAACAAAGTTGATTACCCTTCACCCAAGGATACTTTGTGCCAAGTTTGGTTGAAATTGGCCCAGTGGTTCTTGAGAAGAAGATGAAAATGTGAAAAGTTTACGCCGACGCCGACGACGCCGACAACGACGACGACCACGACGACGACAGACAACGGACAAATTTTGATCAGAAAAGCTCACTTGAGCCTTCGGCTCAGGTGAGCTAAAAACTTTAACCTGTTCACTCAACCGAAAAATGTAGGTCAGATTCAGCATCCGAAGCAAGCCGAGGGTATTACATAAGCTCCCCAAACTTCGTTGAGGTGAGCTAAAAAGAACAGGCCATTAATAAATCCAGATAGAACCTCTACACGATCATAGCTAAAAATAAAACAGGCCGTTAATAAATCCAGATAGAACCTCAACACGATCATAGCTAAAAATAAACAAGACGCATTAACCAATCAAATGGAATAAAGTTGGTATTTATTTTAAATTACGGCTCTCAGAAAATTTAAAATTGTAAGGAAATTGAACAAATATTCTGTGTCTAGGAAAGTATATTTACATGTATAATTACAAAAGTATATTAAAAATTTGTTAAGATTCCCTCACCCATATGAAAATATACGAGTGGGTTTCCATCGACTCATCACTGCTGCGTATAGCCCCATCACTAAAGCGGAGCAGTCAAACAGCATGTGAAACCCATCAGAAATCAGACCCAGACTGTTGGTCCATACTCCGTATACCAGCTCCACAAACGTGAAGGTCTGAAAAATAGCATATAATGAACATATAACAACAGCTGCTTGGATTGTTAGTTTGTGACATTCAGTTTCTCAAAATTTTGCTTTGTTGCATAACAAATCTATGGGTGGATCAAAAATTCTTAAAAGGTGATATAAATATTTAGAAGAGGATCGTATAGCTCATTATGTGTATGTTATTTAATAAAGAAATTTAAAGATTGCATGTCTGCATCTACCAGTAATTGTACTTTTTATAAAGTATATATATCATAACTTGCACATGGCACTTGAACTATCAATTATGTACAAAGTCTAGATAAATAAATTATGTGTTTCCTGTTCCCTGTCTGATCCTAAAATAAATGAGATGACCCTTAAAAATTTAATCCATCAATATCTTTCTGAAGTTTAACATATTCGGTTTTGCTATTTTGAAATCTAAATTTCAATCACTTCTGTGTATGAGAAACTGCAAATCTTATACACATTAGGCAGAAATGTTTTGACATTGATTTCCATGTTAAAAATGGCAGCATGCTTTCTTCAATATTTAAATTTTAAAGGGACATGGACACAGAGTCAGCTAAAACTTTTCTAATTTCCTTTTCCATTCTTTATGAATACAAATATCAAACTAAGATACATGTATTTCTAATGAACTTCAAAAATTTGAATTTCAGTTGTTAAGATACAAGACAGATTTAGGTCATCAAACCTGTGTTAAGTAAACCACGCATCCTAACCCTAACATTAACCCTAACCCTTATGCTAACCTAACCCTAGCTGTAACACTAACCCTAACTCTAACCTTAGCCTGACACTTACCCTAGCTCTACCACTAACCGTAACACTTACCCTAGCCGTAACACTAACCTTAGCTCTAACCCTAGTCTTAACACTTACCCTAGCTCTAACCCTAGATCTAACCAAAGCCTTAACACAAACCCTAGCTGTAACACAAAATCCTAGCTCTAAGCTCTGGCCGTAACACTTACCTTAGCTCTAACCCTAGCCGTAACAATTATCCTAGCTCTAACCCTAGCCATAACACTTACCTTAGCTCTAACCCTAGCCGTAACTGTTACCTTAGCTCTAACCCTAGCCCTAACACTTACTGTAGGTCTAACCATAGCCGTAACACTTATCCTAGCTCTAACCCTAGCCCTAACACTTATCCTAGCTCTAACCCTAGCTGTAACACTTACCTTAGCTCTAACCCTAGCCATAACACTTATCCTAGCTCTAACCCTAGCTGTAACACTTATCCTAGCTCTAACCTTAGCCCTAACACTTACCTTAGCTCTAACCCTAGCCGTAACACTTACCTTAGCTCTAACCCTAGCCGTAACACTTACCTCAGCTCTAACCCTAGCTCAACACTTACCCTCAACACTTATCCTAGCTCTAAACCTAGCCGTAACATTTATCCTAGCTCTAACCCTAGCCGAAATACTTACCTTAGCTCTAACCTAGCCCTAACACTCACCCTAGGTCTTACCCTAGCCGTAACCTTTATCCTAGCTCTAACCCTACCCGTAACACTTACCTTAGCTCTAACCCTAACTGTAACACTTACCCTAGCTCTAACCCTAGCCCTAACACTTATCCTAGCTCTAACCCTAGCCGTAACACTTACCTTAGCTCTAACCCTAGCTGTAACACTCACCCTAGGTCTAACCCTAGCCCTAACATTCATCCTAGCTCTAACCTTAACCGTAACACTTAACTAAGCTCTAACCCTAGCCCTAACACTTACCCTAGGTCTTACCCTAGCCCTAACACTTATCCTAGCTCTAACCCTAGCCATAACACTTATCCTAGCTCTAATCCTAGCTGTAACACTTATCCTAGCTCTAACCCTAGCTGTAACACTTATATTAGCTCTAACCCTAGTCGTAACACTTATCCTAGCTCTAATCCTAGCTGTAACACTTATCCTAGCTCTAACCCTAGCTGTAACACTTACCTTAGCTCTAACCCTAGTCGTAACACTTACTTCAGATCTAACCCTAGCTCAACACTTACCTTAGGTCTAACCCTAGCCGTAACATTTATCCTAGGTCTAACCCTAGCCGTAACATTTATCCTAGCTCTAACCCTAGCCCTAACACTCACCCTAGGTCTTACCCTAGCCGTAACCTTTATCCTTGCTCTAACCCTAGCCGTAACACTTACCTTAGCTCTAACCCTAGCCCTAACACTTACCCTAGCTCTAACCCTAGCCCTAACACTTATCCTAGCTCTAACCCTAGATCTAACCAAAGCCTTAACACAAACCCTAGCTGTAACACAAAATCCTAGCTCTAAGCTCTGGCCGTAACACTTACCCTAGCTCTAACCCTAGCAGTAACACTTACCCTAGCTCTAACCTTAGCTGTATCACTTACCCTAGCTCTAACCCTAGCCGTAACACTTATCCTAGCTCTAACCCTAGCCATAACAATTATCCTAGCTCTAACCCTAGCTGAAACACTTATATTAGCTCTAACCCTAGCCCTAACACTTACCTTAGCTCTAACCTTTTCCCTAACACTTACCTTAGCTCTAACCTTTTCCCTAACACTTACCCTAGCCGTAACACTTACCCTAGCTCTAATCCTAGCAGTAACACTTATCCTAGCTCTAACACTAGCTGTAACACTAAATCCTAGCTCTAAGCTCTGGCTGTAACATTTATCCTAGCTCTAACCCTAGCCGTAACACTTACCTTAGCTCTCACCCTAGGCCTTACACTTACCCTTGGTCTAACCCTAGCTGTATCACTTATCCTGGCTCTTACCCTAGCCCTAACACTTACCCTAGGTGTAGCCCTAACACTTACCTAAACTCTAACCCTAGCCCTAGGTCTAACCCTAGCTGTAACACTTACCCTAGCTCTAACCCTTGCTGTTACACTTACCCTAGCTCTAACCCTACCTGTAACACTTACCCTAGCTCTAACCCTAGCAGTAACACTTACCCTAGCTCTAACCCTAGCTGTAACACTTACCCTAGGTCTAACCCTGGCCGTAACACTTATCCTAGCTCTAACCCTAGACATAACACTTATCTTTGCTCTAACCCTAGCTGTTACACTTATCTTAGCTCTCACCCTAGCCATAATACTTACCTTAGCTCTAACCCTAGCCGTAACACTTACCTTAGCTCTAACCCTAGCTGTAACACTCACCCTAGGTCTAACCCTAGCCGTAACATTCATCCTAGCTCTAACCTTAGCCGTAACACTTACCTAAGCTCTAACCCTAGCCCTAACACTTACCCTAGCCCTAACACTTATCCTAGCTCTAACCTTAGCCGTAACACTTACCTAAGCTCTAATCCTAGCTCTAACCCTAGCCGTAACACTTACCTTAGCTCTAACCCTAGCTGTAACACTTACACCCCTAGCTCTAACCCTAGCCCTAACACTTAACCCTAGCCGTAACACTTACCTAGCTCTAACCCTAGCCCTAACACTTACCCTAGCCCTAACACTTATCCTAGCTCTAACCTTAGCCGTAACACTTACCTAAGCTCTAATTACCTTAGCTCTAACCCTAGCCGTAACACTTACCTTAGCTCTAACCCTAGCCCTAACACTTACCCTATGTCTAACCCTAGCCCTAACACTTATCCTAGCTCTCACCCTAGCTGTAACACTTATCCTTGCTCTAACCCTAGCTGTAACACTTATCCAAGCTCTAACCCTAGCCCTAACATTTACCTTAGCTATAACCCTGGCCGTAACACTTACCTTAGCTCAAACCTTAGCCCTAACATTTACCTTAGCTATAACCCTAGCCGTAACACTTACCCTAGGTCTAACCCTAGCCGAAACACTTACCTTAGCTCTAACCCTAGCCGTAACACTCACCCTAGGTCTAACCCTAGCCCTAACACTTACCCTAGCTATATCCCTAGCAGTAACACTTATCCTAGCTCTAATCCTAGCTGAAACACTTACCTTAGCTCTAACCCTAGCTGTAACACTTACCTTAGCTCTAACCCTAGTCGTAACACTTACCTCAGCTCTAACCCTAGCTCAACACTTACCCTAGGTCTAACCCTAGCCGTAACATTTATCCTAGCTCTAACCCTAGCAGTAACACTTACCTTAGCTCTAACCCTATCCCTAACACTCACCCTAGGTCTTACATTAGCCGTAACATTTATCCTAGCTCTAACCCTAGCCGTAACACTTACCTTAGCTCTAACCCTAGCTGTAACACGCACCCTAGGTCTAACCCTAGCCGTAACATTCATCCTAGCTCTAACCTTAGCTGTAACACTTACCTAAGCTCTAACCCTAGCCCTAACACTTACCCTAGCCCTAACACTTATCCTAGCTCTAACCCTAGCTGTAACACTTATCCTAGCTCTAACCCTAGCCCTAACACTTACCTTAGCTCTAACCCTAGCCGTAACACTTACCTTAGCTCTAACCCTAGCCCTAACACTTACCCTATGTCTAACCCTAGCCCTAACACTTATCTTAGCTCTAACCCTAGCCGTAACACTTATCCTAGCTCTCACCCTAGCTGTAACACTTATCCTTGCTCTAACCCTAGCTGTAACACTTATCCAAGCTCTAACCCTAGCCCTAACATTTACCTTAGCTATAACCCTAGCCGTAACACTTACCTTAGCTCAAACCCTAGCCCTTACACTTACCCTAGGTCTAACCCTAGCTGTATCACTTATCCTGGCTCTTACCCTAGCCCTAACACTTACCCTAGCTATATCCCTAGCAGTAACACTTATCCTAGCTCTAATCCTAGCTGAAACACTTACCTTAGCTCTAACCCTAGCTGTAACACTTACCTTAGCTCTAACCCTAGCTGTAACACTTACCTTAGCTCTCACCCTAGCCCTAACACTTACCCTAGGTCTAACCCTAGCTGTAACACTTATCCTAGCTCTGACCCTAGCCCTAACACTTACCTTAGGTGTAGCCCTAACACTTACCCTAGCTGTAACACTTACCCTAGGTCTAACCCTAGCAGTAACACTTACCCTAGCTCTAACCCTAGCTGTAACACTTACCCTAGGTCTAACCCTAGCTATAACACTTACCCTAGCTCTAACCCTAGCTGTAACACTTACCCTAGCTCCAACTCTAGCAGTAACACTTATCCTAGCTCTAACCCTAGCTGTAACACTTATCCTAGCTGTAACACTAATTCAAATGCTAACCCTTACACTATCTCTAACCCTTATGCTAACCCTAGCTTTCGCCCCAACACTAACCCTAACCCTAACACTAATCCTTATCCTTGCAGCCTAGCTTAACCCTAGATCCAACTCTCATGCTTATGCTAACCCTAGCTTTAACCCTAATCCTAGCCTTAACACTAACCCTAATGCTATCCCTAACACTAACCCTAGCCCTAGCTCTAACTCTAACCCAAACGCTAACCCTAGTCTGGCCTGTAAATGAACAAACAATGTTTAATTTTTTGCTAATCATTAGTATTGCCTTAGCTAGGAATTGTAAACAATAAAATTGGTTTTTAAAAATCCATTGAAAATGTGTTCATGTCTTTGTAAAATACTTACCTACCTACCCTATTTATGCTCAGTTTGGAATAGGAAACACACTATTTATTTATCTTGGCCTAGTTTTTGACTTAATTAAGATGAATCTACTTTACTGAATAATATTCAAGCAAAGTCACACATGTAAGTGATCCTATTTACAGGATAAAGCTCCGACATGGAAACTGCCCTCTCTCACCCCCCCCCCCCCCTTTTAAAATATCAAATAAAATGAGAGCTTACAAGATTAATACATAAGAAATAAAATATTTTTCTGGAATCCGACTCCTCTAGAATTTGTTTCAGGCCGTTTTTCATCACCGTGGCGATGGAGTGCGACGTGCGAGCGATGGCGTCGCTGTTAAAGCTGTAGAGAGGCTGGCCTGTCGTTGAGTAGCCAATGAAACTCCCAGTTTTAGTACCTCGACTTGGCCATCCTAACATATTTGTGGCTGTTGAAGGAAAAGTAAGAAGATATAGTTTAACATTTTTTACATTCAAAAATCCTCATAAATATACACCTAAAAGCAAGTAAGAGACTAACACATTCATAAAAGATTAGTTATTAATGAAAAAAAATTGTGATCAGAAATCTATTTGAATATGCACTAAAAGAAATTCAGGAACTAACACACTTACAAAAGATGAGTTATTTATATAGGAAATCAAACATATTTTTATCAAGATTAAAGATTTTTTCTAATTAAATTTAATTTGCTTCTTGCTCGTAAGAGCAATAATTAATCAATTAAAAGAATCACCTGATAAATACATTACCCAAAATAAAGGTCATAAGGCTAAACACGACCCCTCCTGACAGGACATGGTCTTCTGTGATAATCTCTTTGGTTACCGTGGTGATCCATGACACCATAGGGTGATTCCAAGTTACCCCAAGCAAGAGAGCACTGATAAATATAGCATAAGTCCCATACACTGCCGTGCGGGGTCCCTGGAGATGATTAGAGGCCACCGCCTCAATGTAAAAGTCTAACAGAAACACAAAAAGCACCACTAAACCCATGGGGAAGACTAAATACAACCAGGACTCCACTTCTGACTGAAAAAAAAGATTTTTTTTAAATATACCTTGTAATATACAGCAGTAGTTTGATAAATAACAATTAGAATTTTCTTTAATTTAATCTACAACTGTACTTCAATTTACAATCAATAAATCTCAAATTAGAGAGAGAAAAATTATTATTATATAGCTGTAGTCTGATAAATAATCAATTGTTCTGAAATTTTCAATTTCTTGTCTTGAACAAATTATGTCATTTGTTAATGCACTGTATGCAATTTACTTGACTTCCACATACATTAGATATTCTGAGATTTTGAAATCTTCTGCAATACCAGTCAAGTTTTAAATTTGGTACCTACCTCTCTGGTGAAATAGATAAATGCTGCCCAGGGACAGAGGATTGTGGCCTGGCCCAGGGTAGAGAGGGCGTGTAATTTTTTGGCTCCTCCCACATCTACTGACAGTTTACGGGAGGCATTGTTATACCCCACCTGCATACACAAGGTCAAGGCCAGAAGGACCACGCCTCCCTGTATAAAAAACAACAAAGTTATAGCCTCCCTGTATAAAAAACAACAAAGTTATACTTAGTACTAGTTATAACAAAATTAGTATTCCAGTGGGTTACTTACAAATTGTTCTTATGTATGTCTGAAAATAGTTTTTTTTCTCTTTCATTTGGATCTTCTGTATAAATACATCATCGCAAACCAAAATGAACTATCCTCTCCAATTCTAACCGTGGTTAAATGAGAAGAGAATTTTTCGAAGCTCATTAAAATATTGACCAATGCAAGTAAAGCATAGTCAGATGATGAACTTTGTCGTGACCTTTCAATATCCAATCACAGTGTATGAAATATTTCTTTCATACTGTTGATGTCAATTGTTGCGATGGAAACAAATATTGTCATTGACTGATATGACATCACGATACAGAGGCGTAAATGTTCAAAATTACGACACTTTTTGTGATCAGGCAGCCACGGGCAGGAGAGAGCTATATGCGGACTCCGGACCGTGGCTTGAGACGATGATATATATAGGATTATTTTCATCCTATAACAGTTGTAAATGATTTGATTGCCTTTTTTTTTAATTCACTATGAAACAGTTGTGTTCCAAGAGAGGTAACTCCGTCTTTGTCAAATTTACCCCAATTTGAACAAGTAGCAAAAATAAAATAGGATAAAATTTTCCCTGTATTTACATTATTCTTGAAGCAACTGATCTTAAACACTACGAAAATATGAGACTTTATATAAAAGTAGTGTGAAATTCTGCAAAAGTAAATTAAAAAGCCACTCTTACTTTGTGGTCTGACCAGCCAATGAAATTAACTGTATGGTAAAATAGGTGAGAAAATATTGTGTGGTGTTTGTCCTTAGCTGTGAAATGTTAAGGCAAACAAAGGCAGAACTCTTCCATTTCTTAAGAAAGTAGCTCACACGTGAAATAATAAAATCTAACTCTCCTCTTTAAATCTACACATATATTTGATTTATATTTTTAAAAGTTTCATATTGACATAAAGCTTAAAGCATTTAAATTTGATTATCATGGTTCAAATGTATAAACATGTACTAAACATCAACATTTTCTTTATGACTAAACTATACTTATGTATTAAATATCAAGGATACGCTCATGATCACCGAGATGGTCTAATTTTTCATCATGGTCAAATAGAAGTAAAGTGATGACTGCAAAAAGGAAAAATATGGCACCTCGAGTCTGCAAAAGAAAGGCACAAAGTAAAGAAAACAAATAATAAATTTTTTTCCCATTTTAAAATGCTACATATTACAACAGTCATGATACCTTAGCTGGTCCCCCTCCATTACTTGAGAAAAGGGCACTAGCTCCAGCTATTATCACAAGATCACTGTGTTCAAACAAAAGTATGGTCCTACAAAAAAAAAAGCATAATTATATAAGAATTATGTGAAAAAATATAGTGTTTAAACAGCTGGTGACAGGATGTGACCGGTCAACAGGGGATGGTTACTCCTCTTAGGCACCTGATCCCACTTCTGATGGTTTTCAGGGGTCTGTGTTTTTTGCCCATTAACCATTCATTTTGTTCAATAGATTTATGAGATTAATTACCATTTGTCTGTCTAATTATTGTTTGTTATCTTTTGCATTTAAACTACTGTATACAGGGTTATTTTTGCCCTTTCATATTCGGAAACAAGTTTGCCCCGTATTAAATTCGCCCAGAAAGATTTTTGTTTACGATATTATACTGTTTACTTTGAATTCACCCCGTTTTAAATTCGCCCACTTCTGACGAGGGCGAAAGTGGCGAAAATTAAGCAGGGGCGAAAATTTCCGTGTATACAGTATTTTATTTTCAAAATTTGTTATGTTCAATTAAAAGTACAGCATGAATTCAATTTAAAAGAAGCATTTTACAAAATAAAAGAAAACAACTCTTGTGTATGAGCATAACTTTGTGCATGAATCTATTACATGTAATAAATAAATTTAATTAATATAACAAACTATTACCTTAAAGGACCACAGAGAGTTAGGCCAAAGAGCCATAGCAGACTTATGAATGCCCCTATGACAGCATGACGGAATACACGAAATAGCTGCAAACATAAAATCATGCATCAACAATGAATAATAAAAATTGAAATATTGTATTTAAATAAAATAAAAATATATGCAATAACTTTTAATTTTTCTAATTATAAGAAAGGTTGAGGTATATAAAATACATGTTTGGCAGGCTTTGTACATTAAAAGACAATAAAATATAATAAATGTAGCACTTGTTTCTGTTCTAAAAGTTTACACTCATAGTTTAATATTATCATTCTATCATTTTATAATGGGGATAAACTTTTATTATAACGAAAATTACGAAAATGCTTGTGAATGCACCCATGCACCAAATCACTGAAAAGCTTGCAAAATGTTTAACAAATTTTCATAGTATTAATTTATATGTGCATATTGATCAATATCTAAGAATCAACCATTAAATTATAAAATGCTATACCTGATGATTACTCAATCTTTTGCCTGAAGAAAATGGTTTTTGTAGCACGAGAAGGGGGAGGGAACTCCTGCAATATTTCAAAAAAAAATCATACCACATCAACATTTTTATATACATGTACATGTATATAGTTTTGTAGTCTAGTTTTAAATCAATTTTTTTATTAACCTACCAGAACTTGATGAGAAATAGGAACTGTACCACAGGGATGAGCTTCAGTAAGTCGTACGAGATAAATAAACCGACGGCTCTCAAGAACTTGGCCGCTACCAACAATAGCAGGTACACAGACAAACTGAAATAGGACTCACTTATGTCAATGCCATGATTTTCAGTGAAAACAGAATGTAAAATAGCTCACAAATTGCATAGACTATCTAATAGAAACATCACCTAACAGATTATACTGTTAATTATTTTCATGCAACTTAAACAATTGCATCATATTGATGAAAAAGGGAAAATTGATAAAAAATGTTTATGTGAAAATATTTTTGTGACACTTGATAATTGTACTGCATGATAATGAATCAGAACTTCAGAAGCACATGGTTTCCAAGTGTGATGGAAGGAAAATGCAGCCATGTGAATTCTATATGATAATTCCAGGGGCGTGTGGGGGGCAATTCTACCTACTTATACTATAGGAAATGTTAATTGAAAGCCTGGTTGGCCCCCCCACCTTAAGTGGTGTACCGAAAATGTATTATTAGAATTTGTACTAAAAGTAGTTGACACTGAGAAAAAGTTTACCTTAACCCCCCCCCCCCCCCCGAAATAGGATTTTCGACTTTGGCCAATTTATCTTTTTTTTTGCTTGTCATCTTTTTTCAGGTATGTAAAAAAAATTTTTCTCTGGCTGCCCCCCCCCCCACTTTCAAAAACGATGCTACGCCACTGAATTCAACTGAGTAGCACATTTTGTAACAAAGCATAAGAATTCTTGTGTCCAGGCACCGATTTAATACTATAAATTCTTTTATGAAAAGAATTTAAAGTTACAATAATTTTAAGTGTACTGAGTAATGTTTGAGATTCGTTGCAATTTTTTAAGCATAAAAAAGAAAAACTCTAGTGTAGAATTTCAATATTATATCAGCATATGTTACCAAAATATCAACAACACAATGTTCACAAATCAGCCCCAAGTGTGAAACTATTTATATTGTTTCTACAATTTTCAATCTTTAAGCATATTTAACTTCATATTTTGTGTTTTCTTCTTATTTATTTAGCACAAATATATATATATTTTTTAATACAGATACTTTTTTTTCTTGTTAATCAATTATTGAATTAATTGCCATAACTCTAAGCCAGGCATAAACAGCAAAACACACTCTGACAAGTACAGGGGAAATAGCGGGTGCTTTACCATCTATTAAACGGTTCTTTTGATTTAACAGGAAACAGTCTGTAAAACATTTATAAGTTACAGTAAATAAAATGAAAGACTATAAGAGAAAAAATAATAAGTATAGTTTGATACCATTGATAGAAAATTAGCAGAATTTGTTTATTTCAAATTAACTGACAAAATTTTCAATATTCAAAAAGATTTTTAAACGTATGACATGTAATCATAACAGTGACCAGTTTCATGTCTGATATGAAAATAATTATCTCTGAAAGAATGAGTGCACTTAAGTATGTCATTTGGAACCTTTTCGGCTACCTGTTTTAATCTTTACATTACAATATATCGCTAAATTAATCTATGATTATTGTGCAAGCATATGCTTTTGATATTTATACCTTGAATTTTTTGTCATACACATTTCTATAATTATAGACCATGTCATTGAAAAGAACATGTATAAACCTTAAATTCCGGAATTTGAACGGAACCACTATCGAATTTAAGGTACCCGCAAATAGGCGGAGACATTTAAATCGCATGGATGTGGAATGTAAACAATAGCACATATGTTTTTTTCGCAAGCAGATGCTACACTACGAATTTAAATGTGAAGAG